ATAGCTATATATTATATTAATATATTTAAACTTTATTAATTATTTACTATTTGTATTTCAAGTTATTAAACCTAACAATATTATAATTGAAAATAGGTAACCTGTGTATTATGAATAGTCGAATAGTTTCCAATTCAAAAAAAAAAGAATGATTCCGCTGATTTAAAAAAGTTCATTCACACCCGTTCTATTTAATAAATTATACTATTTTTATTTTTTAAAATATATAATATCGTATCAATCGTATCCATAATCTACATAAAAGATATTAATATTTTAAATAATAAAGCTTAAGTACTTACCTATACTTTAAAAAATATTATTTATTTAAATTTTAAAGTACATACCCAATTAATTATTCATCAAGAAGAATAGTAGGTAAAAGATATAGGTACCTATAAATATATGTATAGTTTGATGTGCGATTAAATTGAAATGGCCTTGAATTTGATGTAAATGTGAATGTGTGTTTTAATTACAAGCATAGGCAGGTATTGAGGTATGTAGGTATTTCATTATTTACAAAATCGTCATAACTGTGATTATTACAATTTCTTTATGTGTATTAATGCACTTATTGTTAATTATTATATTCATTCGTTTTTCATAAACTCCCATAAACATTTCACTCTTATAATATAAAAAAATATGTTGGTTTTTAAATTTATGTTCTACAACTTCTGTGGTTATTAGCTTTGGTTACTAACTTGATTTTTTTTTTTTGGTTTTAAAATTATAAACTGATTTAGATAGACTGTTTTTTTAAAAATGTTTTTTAAATGTAATGAATAATGACTAATTTGTTCATCTTTATGAGGTCCCAGGTTATGTGCTGAGGATATCAGAGCACTGTTTATTTTCACCATCTGGCCCATGTTCAACATAGAAAAATCGCATTCACGTAGAATAATTTTTATTGTATTTTTGAGTAGTCTTATAGTAAAATCACCTAATACATAAATGATTGACGTTAATATTTTTGAGGGTATGTCATTGTCATATCAATATGTCTACATTTTGTCTCAAAACAATTTAAACATCATTTAAATTTACAAAAATTAATTTTTATTTTGGAAGTCGAGTACAATGTTAAATAATATTTAAATATAAAACCGATGTATCAAACCTTCAAAAATATTATTTTCTATAATATTTGTTATAGGTGTTTTTAATCTTAGATGACTCAAAAATCGTAAAAAGTGATTTTAGGTGAAAGCCTTTTATTTACTATGTTGCGAATGGGTCTGAGAGCGAAAACAAATATTGCGCTGACCCATCAAGAGGTAGGTATATAAGTACCTACATTATTATTCTCTTTTAGATATTTCTTATGTAGAATTTAAGACGATATGAGACAGAAATAATGGGTTTAAACAACACTAGCCACTAGGTCAAATTGTGGTTTACCGTTGGTTGGTGTGTTTCGTAGGTTAGAGCAGGGGTGGCCAATTTTTTTTGGTCACGATCTACTAAAAATATACTTTACCTTTGAGGATCGACTTTCATAGAAAAATTGTTTAGTTGTTAAGACTAAAGATAAAACTTATCGACAATTTGTTCACTACAACATCGATTAATTTTCATACGCGTGTCCCTAAAAATAAATTCTAACATGATCGACTTTGACATTGTCCGCGATTGACCGGTCGATCGCCATCGACCGTTTGGTCACCCCTGGGTTAGAGCATTGAATTTCAATATTTTGTTATACTACATTACTAAGCGAATATCCATGATAAGGTTTATTTTATTGATCTTTTAGTAGTTAATATAATATGGTCAATATGGACTATGTCTCAGCAATTATATGTTGTGTATAAATAAAAAGTTATTGCAGTTTAGCAAGAGTAACATGATAAAATATAGATATATAACAATTAATAATACATATTGTAGTACAGTAATAAAATATATAGTACTTAATATATTTATACATACATAGTATAGTTATTAAACAGTAATAATGTAACATAATTTAAAGATACAACAATAAAATAATAAAACAGTTATAGATTAAATAACCTTTTATAGTACATATGTATTATATAATTCTTAGATTAAAATAATTAGGGGGTCGATATTAGATATGATTGAAAGTAAATATTTATTTAAAACGGAGTTTTATGATAATTTAATTAATGGATTAATGATGAATTTATATTCTTTGATAAATACATTATAGTACGGCTGGTATTTGGTTGGCTACAATATCAACAAATTAGTGATATTCGTTAACTAATGGAACTGCAAGGCGAGAGTCTCTCACGTGCGACACTGCTCGAAGTTAACTGGTCTAGGAATGGAAGGGATAAGTTTTACCGTTTTTTGCTATTTGAATGTTGAGGTGAACTTTTAGCATGCTGAACATTTTTGTAGGATGTTATGTGAGGCCTTCGCAAAGAGCACATTTAGTCAGAGGATTGTGATATTTTATGCAGTTACGAGTCGGACATGTCCTCAAAATTTGAGGTTTTTGAAACCATTAATATCCGTGAGCTATATTAATTTGTTTTAAAATATGGAGACATTTGTGTACATCACTGTTTGTGATAGTTCTAATTTTAAATAATAATATAAGTATGTACATTTCTGCATACAGCATATAAATTAATTTACTTATAAACTTATATTCATTCATATTTGCTCCAACGGTATTATTAGTGGAATACAAACTTTCGTTCAAACGGTATAGAAACAAGTATTCGCCCAAACAAACCATATTTTGGATAGATTCGTATCTTTGATTTTTGCTTCTGATACTCACAAGCCATACGTCCGTACATGTTATAACTATAAGGCATGATGCATGGACATGATGCGTGGGCATCTGCAGATGTGACCAACAAGCTTAGGATGATTAATCTTAATAATTTGTCACCGTCTGTCGATAAGCTCAAGTAACAACTACACGGGATACCCTGTATACTTGATACAGGATTGGGGATTCAACCCCCCTGAAAATTAATAGTTGTGTAATTTATTTATATCAATCATCGATAACTACAATAACTGGTCGGTGACAATTTGTTTATGAACCCACCCCCGGAAATTTTTTTTGTGTACGTGCCTGATACTACACATGTATATTCCTATAAATAGAATACCTATTCAATACCTAGTGAATAGACGATCCAATTACATATCTCATTGTTAATATCTCATGAACATTTTCTTGGACTCACGACACCGTTCTCGTTCAATATTAAATACACATAATTTTCAGTTTTCGGTCACCACCTCCAGATTAAAAAAAAAATAGTTCCAACTCTCGAGGCACACCACAAGGTTATTTGGGTCTCGCAGCACACTATTTTAAAACAACTGGATTAGAGTGTTGGACGTGGCAAATTATGTAGGTGGTTTACTTTCTGGATTTTGCATGCCAATATGCCGTACCAAGTAACCATGTGCAGTTAACTTTGTATGGCCAATTCTCAGTCTTAAAATACGTTTTTACCTAGTTAGACACCTAGTCCATATATATATATATATATATATATGTATTTTAATTTCTATATAACATGGAGGTATCAGCATAACATATAATTTCAGAGTAATAACTAATTTATTTATTACGATTCTTTTTATTAAGTGCCTATACCTTGACCAACATTAACTTTTAATATTTCACAAATATTTTCATTATTATATGTATATAGAAAACTATAACATAACTATATAACATGGCAATGAGGTAAAGTGATATAAATTTGAAAACCGTCGTTAATGTTTGTTTTTATTACCATCCCATACTCCCATTTACTACATATTCGATAAACATAAATTAGGGTTAAATTATAATAATACCAACAATCTGAGACAGATATAGGTAGTCACTTTTTTGGTTGCAGGAAAAATGTTTAAAATGCATACAATTGCACAAATGCCACGCACTGCACAAGTTTTCCAAGAAGTTTACGTGCAGTAAGAAAACTTGAAAGTTTTAAGCAAAGCTCCTCATAAAGTCATAAGTTGTTAATAACAAAAATGTTAAGAATAAGTTGGGCATAAATTTGCAAACTTTTTTATCAGCGTTTGAAGTTATAATTTTGATGAAATTCGTCATAATCTTGGAAATTTGAAAATTATTTTGCACTCAAAATTCATACTGTTTATTATATTCATAACTAAGGTTTGAAAAATTATTTCATGGTACCTACCAATAAATTTAGACAGACTTGGTAACTTGGATATTCAAGTGTAAAATAGCGATTTCTTATGAGACGATTTTTTTTAAAATCAAAGAGTATAAATCGTGGAACCTTAAAACATAAATATTTCTTGTTGATTATTATTTCTTATACTCAATGACAAGGACACCTAATTTACAGCAGAGCAGTAGAGGCACCCATTTTTTAAACGAAATCCATAAAAACAAAATGTAGTCCTTTTCTAGGCCTTGACCAGGAACCGCCAACGGTCACTTGTTCGGGCGCATAGAGAAATCTATGTTTGCATAGGCCTATCCACCCCTGTCAATTTGGTAATTCATTATAAGTCTTATAATCTGATTCTATAATATATTAATATGTTTATGGTCAAATTATTATTGTACCACAGGGCACAGGAGTAGGATTATATATCTGGCGGGTTGATTAATTCCATGGGATAATGAAGATTGTAGTAGCAGGAACATTAACCATGGTTAAGATTCAAACCGAATGTTGTCACATACTGATAAATATGAAAGTTAGATGAGTGACGTACAGCCATGAGCCAGCCGTACAACCGCGATAAAAGAAATAATAGTAAATAGTAGTAATAGTATTGTAATAGTATTATAGTAATTTTATTTATTTTATCTTTCTGTACTGACGTAATGACGTCACGATGATCGAGCGGCACATGTTTTCAGTGAAAGGTATATTCTTATTTCGAAATAGGTACAGCAACAGTCTACTACAGTCACTAATCACTATAGTCAGTGAAGTGAACACAGCAGCACTGTACACATAGATATTATACACTGTACGTCTGTACGTCTGACAACATAATATATGTATCTAATATTATAATATTCACCCATGTCTTATTATCTATGACTGTACACCGTCTGCTTATCAGTTATTTCCCTATTATAAATAAATAGTAATATAAATATTAAATATTCAATTACAATAATTGCTCCGATTTGGAAATCCATTAATAAATTAAAAAGAGTTTGTATGACGCTGATGGTCGTTAGAAGTGGCGGTGGCCGGCTGTGGCCTGCGACCGGTTATGCGTAGTGCGTGTTACTCACTTAAACGAGGCAGTCGTGTGCCATTGCCATTCGTTCTATTTACTCGTTCGTAAGTCGTATGAAAACTCCGCGTGCCATTGCCGTTTGGTTAGCGAAAATTTGTTATTTACGAGGTTAGTGTTCGCGTAGTGTGTGCTCGGTAGTTAGTTCGCAATTGTATGGGTCGCATAATTATTCCGACGTAGTGACGGTGATAAGTGCTTGTTATAGTAGCCACTTTTACCTAGTGAAGAGGTCTTACTACGCGTCGTTGGACGGCATATTTTGCAGGTCCGTTAGCTATGATCTCCGACCCTCCTAAGACCCGAGACTGGTGGCCGGCGTTGGAGGACTTACGACTGACGGATACCGCCGTGGTCGTCCTCAACACCAGCATTGAAAATCCCCCAAAGCTAGTGCGGCATCTGTGGAACAAATGTGAGTATTTCTGTCACCTCAGTAGCATGCATTAGCATCCATTACCACTTATTATCATTTATCGGTTTTTGTTTTTTTCTATGTTTCTAGCTTGGCTCCGAGTAACTGTTGATGGCGGCACTAACAAATGGCACAGTTTCGTCAAACAGAACTCATTTGATGACTTGAAATTCCCTGATCTTATTACCGGTGATCTGGATTCGGCCAACCCTGCTGTTGTTGAGCAGTTTGTGTCGATGGGTTCAAAAATCATTCCTACGCCCAACCAGGATGAGACCGACTTCACCAAAGCTCTTAAAGAGGTTAAGAAATACTCAGCAAGTAATTATATATGGGTTTGTAATCCACTAGTAATACCCTCATATGCTCAAAGTTGATTTTTTTTTTAGAGAATGGCAAATCAATAGATTCTATTATTGTCATGGTGAACATGTGTCATAGGGTCGATCATTTCTTGTCAAATTTAAACACTTTGTACAAGTCAAAGACTAAAGACCTTTACTTTGATGAAGACATATATCTGCTGGGAAGGAATTCATTGACTTGGTTGCTTCAGGCTGGCACACATCGTATTCATGTTCCTCAGTCTCTCAGGTTGCACCCAGAGAATAATTATGTAGGCTTTTTTCCAATGGGTTCGGCATGCAACGAATGTACAACTACAGGACTCAAATGGAATTTAAGTAAGTCGTCTTGCCCTTTCGCCACAATTAAATGATTTTTAATTTTGATTTCTAAGCTATTGGTAGATATATTTGGGATCAATAATTTGGTTTGTCAGCTACATCTAACAATTTATTGGTACCTAATGTGTAGGTATTTTAGATATATAAGCAGTTGATTTACCTAATATTTAGTTATTATCATGCACTACCTATATTTTGCCAATAAAATTAATGTTAGTAGAATAGTCAGTATACTGTATTTGATTCAATTTTCATATCTAATAATCTTTTAAGTTTCAAATGTGTTGGTAGGTCGCTATAATTCTTCTTTTTTACTTCTGACATTGATTAAATCTTCTGTTGATGGATCCAATTTATTGCTCTATGACTTTGAAGAATCTAGGAAAGATGAGGGAGCCCTCTCTCCCCTGTATATTTCTGTGCTGGAGTACGAAATTAAATTCCCAAATATTTTAATAAATGCATATATTCATATATTCTTATTGTTGATTGAACATTTCATTTAGTATGTTCATATGTGGTGTTAAAACATTTTGAAAACCACGTATTCTAAGTTTCTTATTGATGGTTATTTTTTTGCTAACTTGTAAAAGTAAAAGTATTTAATCATGCATTTTTAGCTATTTTAATGCTATCATATTGTAAACATACTAATAAATACAATAAAAATTAGTTTTAACTTTTAGCTATAATAATAATAAAAATAATAAATAATGTTCAGAATATAAAATATAAATACAACTTAAAAAATTGTTATGGGCTCTGAGATTCTGTACATTATAATTATATAATGTGGAAAGCATATCCATAAATATTTATTGTAGAATATATCAGGTTGATCTACATTAATTTATGTCGTACGGTTATGGTTTTGTATATTATTATATCTTGTAATAATTAAATTACTTAGATAATAAAAAAATGACTAAATATTTAGATGCTGAGTTTTCATCTATTTTTTAATTTATTATTGAAACCTTCACTTATTCTATTTGCTACATTTGTATTTTTTAGTAGCGTTATGTATGTTCTATAATGAGTAAGACATATTGGGGGGAAATGTCCACTGTCTCAATTAGGTAAAACTAACTAATAAATAACTAATTTTGTCCCGCTGAAAATTGTTACTTTTTGAAATATCGACAAATCATGATGAACATTTTAGTATATCATTTGATCTAATAAAAATAGATAAAAAGAGATTTTTTGGTTAAAAAAAATGTGATTTAAGTTTATTAACTTGAAATATTTTAGAAAACCACACTTTTTTCAATGTAGGTATATATTTTAAAATGTTAAAATTCCCTTACTAATAAAATATTAAGATGGATTATCAAATGATAAACAACTTTTTAGTGTAGTCGCTAATTTCATTTTATTGTATGGAAATAAAAGTTTAATAACAATAGTTTAATTTCTTTTTCGATTTTATAAGATTTTTTATTAATTATTTTCTTTAAAATTTTTACTAAAAATTTTCAGGAAAAAAGGCAGTTTTCTTCATTATATAAAAGTAATTAGTATTTAGTACATTGATTGAGTTAATAATATTTTTTGAACAATGGTGTATAATTTTGTAGCTTTATGCATACCTATTCTAAAACTGTGTTTCAAAATCAATATTGACTATTGAAAAATTAAAACTTCAAGCCTAGGTGGTGACTTAAATTCATAATTTTCTAAACTATTCCTTTAGCAGAGTTAAACCTAATAGGTACAATCATAATATTTCTAAAAATTAAACATAACTAAAATGGCTTATTTTATACTGCCATACTATCACATGACTGATGAAATATTTAAATTTACTGATAATATTACAACTACTCTATGATTTTAAGTATGGATACATTCTGATTTATTAGTGCCATAAATACTTGTACTCAAATAAAAAATATAATTTGTATTTTGTATCGAAAAAAATGTTGTAGATTGTGCCCCTAAATCAGCAGTCAATTATAGTTGTACTCTAATTTACCTTAGTATCCCTTAATCTAGGCTTGATAACAAGAAACTCCATGTAGCTTTTTATTTGTAACAAAAAAGTAATACAATTATGAGTTGTGATAAGTAGTAAGTATAGTTAGATAGAATACAAATAACTATTATTTTTTATAATTAAGAAAAAGGGATTTTCAAAATATTTTATGCTGATAGCTTTTTTAACAGTTGTCTTACAATAAGTCTTGTGATAAGTAATTTATGAAAGACTATGCATGAACAATGCTGGTTTCTTTTATATAGAAAAGCTTCAAGGTCCATATTACTAATTTTTAATTGTACTGCTTGTGAATGAACTATGTTAACTTTTTTTCAATAAAGACTAATTTTTACTGTTTATTTTAGGTGGAAAACTGATGGAAATGGGAGGACTTACCAGTAGTAGCAATACATTCAATGGTGAACCAATCGTCACAATCACCAACAGTTCTCCGCTATTGTGGACAATGACTATGGGTTATGAAGAAAGTTTCTAAACCAAGAAGAACACTGTTAGATTGGTGTATTTTATTCCAAAGTAAAATTCTCCCCTTCCTACTGCCTGGCCACTCGTTATTAATTCGCACAAGGATCTTTATCTTATCATCTGTACTGTCAGTATAACTGCAATAAATCTAGTACATAATTTGATTAATGTATCTGTGCGCTTATTTTTATTAAGTAATATTTTAGAAAAATATAATTATTTTTTTTAGAATATATTTGTTGTTAGGGCCTAAAGAGGTTGTTATATTATGATATAGTCTATGCAATAATGTATATTATTATTTGTTTTTAGCCAAATATATTTATACACATGTATGATATTGTAATGATGTTTCATTGTTGTTATAAGCATTTGACATGTTATGTATACTATACTTCGTGCCACAAGAGAAGGAACCCGTTTCGCGCATGCAGACTGACGGCAGCTAGCGTTACTAGGCTAGGTAACTAGACGACGATATGTCAAATAAGTGGGGATGCGCGGAGTCGGTTGCAATTTGGTCGGGGCACGGGTTCCTTCTCTCATGGTGCGGAGTATAGAATACATAATTGGTCAATCGTTCAGCACAATTTATTGTATTAAATTATTAAGTTAATTTTTTATTAGGTTCACAAATCAAATATTGGTGCTCTAAACTACTCTATTTTAAAATTGCAATAATTTAAGAGTGCGTTTATCTTGAGTTCATTCTATTATATATTTTTATACTTCTATTAAAATATAGTGTTTCAGGGCATTCTTTAAATTAGTACTAAAATTATTTTCTTATAAGTTTTTAATTCAATATATAAATATTCTAGTTAACAAATTTTATAACAAATATTCAAAGAGAAATGAAAAATGAAAAACAAAATTATAGTCCCATGACCTAATCATAAAGTTGTTCATATTTATTATTTACTATTTACATATTGATGATTTGTGTATTATATTCAGCTTACTATAACTTCAAAATATGATTTAAGAGGACATTATATTTGCATGTGTTGTCTCCGTCTTACAAGTGCCTAACATACAAAATTTTATGTTCTGCAGATCATGTTTAGCAAAGTTAGTCTAAAAATTAGTCAATTGACCTCTTACAAAAATTAAGGGTTATATTATTATTTAGAGAATCTCATGAGCATTTTGTTAAATTTTAATTTTAAAGTGAGTTATGAGTATTTTAAGTTGTACAAATAATTTACAATTTTAAAATACTCACAACTCGTTTTAACATTAAAATAAAATAAGAACCCCTTGAGATACCCCTAGATAGAATAATCTTACCATTAATTTTTATAAGAGGTCAATTCACTCTTAATTTTTAATTAATTGAACTAAACTTGATCTGTTGAGCTTAAAATTTGCCATGTTATGCACTTGTAAGACCGAGACAAAACATGCGGGTATGACGTCCTCTAAAAATAATATTAAATATAAATATCATATTATATTAAATTATAATTTATTTACCAATTTAAACAAGTTTCTAAAAAACTGTAGCTTCACTTATTCATTAAATATGGTCTGATATATCTATGGTAGATTTAATTTAGTCCATTTCCTGTTCATTTTACAATAAGATAGTATCAAATATGACATTTGTCCACAAATGTTGAGTAATGTTGTTTTTATGTACAATGACACTTTTCCTTATCTAATATCAATAATTTATCAATTAGGAGAGTTAAAATTATAACTGTTCAATTATAGATCTATTTAATGTTGGTTAATGAATCCAAGTATTAACTTTACATTTTTACTCAACTTGTCTATTACTGTAAGTTTTTAGTTAAGAAATGTAATATACATTTTACAGAATATACAGCTATTAAAATAATTGTTAATAATTCAGATTAAAATTAATTACAATAATCAATTAAACTGTACAATATTACTACTTATAATTTTAATTTTAATAAATATATCTGAACAAAAGAAAATGAAAGTGACTAAGACATTCATATAAATTTACTGTGAATTATTTCTGAGAACTATATAACTTCAATATGTAATCGTTTTCATTACATAATATTATTAATTATTATGATAATTGTGTATGGTTTCTCCTTATAATTATTTTATAGACGTGTTCTATATTTTTTAAATCTTTATTTATTTGTAGAGTTCTGTTATAGTTTTTAGTATACAACTGTTAGTATTAATTTTTATTTGTTGGTGGCTCATAATAAGAGTAATGATAGGTCAAGCCCTGATTTTTGACATCAAACCAAACTTGGCAATGTTTTTAAACCTGAACAGAACCTAGGATGATTTTAGTTAAAGTTAAATTATTACTCTAAATGTTAAGCCTATGTAGTTGTCTTAGGTTTTAATTTATTAGGAAATTTGTAATTTTACATTTCCATACTGTGCTTATACCTAATATTTTATATCATAAAATAAATAAAAGCTATGGCAGTTATAAGTTATAACTATAGACCTAAAAAGTATTAACTTAACTTATAGGTTCTTAGTTCATTCCCTAGATTTTTCTATTTTGATAATATTTAAACATTGAGTATTTGAGTCTATTGAGATGGAAGATACTATACTTAGTGATCTATACTTATCTAGTAATCTACATTGTGTCTATTATACCATAGCCATAATGGAATGATATAATATGTCTATACTAGTATAAGGTCTATGGTCTATGCCTCATGGTAGTATGGTATATTAATAGTACAATATATCACAGATGTCTATAGTATACAGATATATCACAATATAAAACAGGGGTGTCATTTATCGAAGTATTGGAGGGTATGTTTATGCATATTGCATACCCATGCTAATAATATAAATAATATAATTTATTTAAATTAAATATAAAAATGTCTGGTTTATACTAAATATTTGATGTATTACTGAAGATTTCAGGACTTTTTTTATATACAGTGTTCTTAGGTAAAATAGTGTCTATAAATATGCATATTTAAATTTAAATAATTTAAGCACTAGCTTAGTATTATCAGGCACAAAATATTCATCTATGTACATCATGCAGTATTATTAGATATATAATATTCATAATATTATATTAGATTATTAGATAAAAGATAAAAAGGTTTTAATTTTTCGAGTGCGGCAAGCAAAATATTTTTGTAATAACTATAGTAGTATATTGTTTTATGGTAGTATAGTAAAATATATTTTATTAATCTGCCAGCTGCCTAGTTGTTAGCATACCTTTCAAGTACAAGGTCTATGCATGAATATACCTTAGCTATTTTTATTGATAATAGATATCAATGGATATCACGACTGTAATAACCAGTGGTCCATGGTAATAATATAAGAAATACAAATATAAGATAACGGGTTACCAGAATAACAACAAGACTATGATAACACAACATTTTATATACATAATTTTAATGTGTTATGTTGTTTTGTCCACAAAATACGAATACAAATCAAATTAAAATTTTATTTTTAATTTTTTTAAATATTATTCAACATGCATCTTCACGAAAACAAAGTTTTTTTAATTACTCGTCGCGATTTGTTGACCTTAGGAAAATATTCATATTTAATTATCACATTTACAAAACGAAAAGTAGGTGCACACATAGCAATGCCCATAAAAGGCAATGTTCACCTGTTGTTACTTGTTTCATTATGTTTGAAACCCACGGTACGAAAGTTCGTTTTTATTGAATGTTTAACAGTGATTTAGTCGTAATCGTCGACGACAATGGCTATGCTTTCTTTACGTATTCGGTTTGTGGATGACGGGGTGACAAAGACGATACAATTCGATCCGTCTACATCTGTGTTTGAAGCTTGCTGCCAGATCAGTGGAAAAGTGTCCTCTGACCATCTGTCGGAATACACATTGTTCTTGGCTGACGAAGATTCCAAAAAAGGCATATATCTTGAACCTGGACGTAATTTTGAGTATTATATACTGCGGAATGGAGACTTACTCGAATATCGCAAAAAAGTGCGTCCATTAAAAGTGAGCACACTTGATGGGACGTTAAAAACATTAATGATAGACGATACTCAGCCCGTTGCCAATCTTATGGCTGTAGTTTGTGCTAAATTAGGTATAACTAACCATGACGAGTACAGTCTGGTACGTGAATTTCCTGAAGGCGATGAAAATAATGCTAACTCAGGAAATTCAATTAAACGCGATCATAAGATGGAACATTTGCGCAAAAAGTTAAAGACAGACGAAGAAACTAATTGGATTAATCCAGGAGCAAGCTTACGAGAACAGGGCATTGATGAAAAGGAGGGGGTTTTATTAAAACGCAAGTTTTTTTTTTCAGACGGTAACATAGATTCACATGATCCGATTCAATTAAATTTATTATATGTTGAAACAAGGGATGCTATTTTAAAAGGCACTCATCCTGTTACTGAAAATCTTGCCATTCAGTTAGCCGGCTTACAAACACATATTCAGTTTGGTAACCATGATGAAACTAAACATAAACCTCCATTATTGGATTTAAAAGAATTTCTACCACAGTCTTATATAAAAAATAAAGGTATTGAAAAAAAAATACTTAATGAACACAAGAAATATATTGATTTACCTGAGCTTGAAGCTAAAGTTTTGTACACTAGAACAGTTCGAGCTCTTCCAACATATGGTGTCACATTTTTCTTAGTTAAAGAGGAAATGAAAGGTAAAAATAAGCTTGTACCTAGAATTCTTGGGGTTACTAAAGATTCTGTGTTGCGCTTGGATGAGCGAAGTAAAGAAATATTACAAAATTGGCCTTTAACCAGTGTTCGGCGCTGGGGAGCTTCTCCACAAACATTTACATTAGATTTTGGCGATTACTCTGACCGTTATTATTCTGTCCAAACCACCGAGGCTGAGCAAATACTACAATTAATATCTGGTTATATTGATATAATTTTGAAAAAAAAAGAAGCTAAGGATCATTTTGGAATTGATGCAAATGAACATTCTACAGTGATGGAAGATACAGTAAGTCCATTAAAAGCAATTGTGATAGAAAGTAATGGTCAAAAGGTAAAAACTGAATCGGTTGCTAAACCTGCTATTCTTAGAGTTCCACAAGAGGCTTCTTCTTATACAACTGGGTACATTTCGGAGGAACAATATACTTCCATTGAAATCACTTGCACTGAAGCCATATCGGGTGTTTTAGAAGATCTTGATACTACTATGTCTGAAAGTAATAATTTGGAACTGGAAATCAATGAACAGAAGTTTTCTGACTATAGAGAAAATATCTTAAAAACTTCCAAAACATTGGTGGAAAATACCAAATCATTAGTCGCAGGTGTTGGAGTATCCAAAGAACAATTAGATGATTCTTCTAAAAACGCAGTATCGACGGTATTGAAACTTGTAGAACTTGTGAAGTCTGGCGCAGCTTCATTGGATGACCGTGAAGTTCAAATTAAATTGATAACAGCTGTAAAAGATGTTGCTAGTTCGCTCGGGGAACTAATAAAAGGTTGTTTTGAAACTCCTTCTATGGACGAACTAAAAGATAAAGCAAAAGTGTTGGTAACCAATGTTACTTCTTTATTGAAAACCGTGAAATCTGTAGATGATGAACGTACAAAAAATACTAATGTTATGGAATCAACAGTTGAATTGATTGAAAAAGATTTGCAAAGAAACCAAATTGAATCAAATTATGAAACAACAACTGAATCACTTATTCAGTCTGCAAAATGTATTGATGAAACCACTAAAAACATGTTGGATATTGTCTATAGAGGAAAACCAAATGATGTCAGAAATGCAGTACAAGAAAGTCATAAATCAGTTAGCGAGTTATTAACCGCTTGTCATGGAAAGAATTTAAATGAAAAAGTTTTAGATGCTGGACGTCAAGTTGCTGAAGAATTTAAAACTTTTTTGACTACAATTTTAGAAAATTCAAAAAGGCCTAGTACTACCACAAAACGGGTTTTAGAAGAAGTATCACAGCGCTTGTCTTCAAAGGTACATTATTTAATTACGATTGTGGAACACATTGAAACTATAGAGTATCATTTATTGGATTCAGCAACTTCAATTGACACAGCAGTGAAAAAACTCGACACAATTCAACCTAGGCCTTACGAATTCAAAGTTGATGAAACCTGTTGGAAATCTGATGAAGTCATTTTAGAAGCTGTAAAATCAATTGCAGCTGCTACCTGTGCATTAGTTAAGACAGCTTCACTTGCACAACATGAAATCGGAGTTGATGAAGGGGTAGATGGATTAGTTTATGCAGCTAGAATGGTTGCCACAGCAACTCATAGTTTAGTAGAATGTGCTCGTGAAATCATTGAAGGTTTATCAAGCGAAGACAAACTTATATCTGCTGCTAATCAAGTGGCTTCTTGCACAACACAACTTTTAGTTGCATGCAAAGTCAAAGCAGATCCAAACAGTGATGCTACAAAGCGCCTTTTAGCTTCTGGTAATAGTATTAAATTGATTGTTTGTTAGACAAATTTTTAAATATTTTTTTTTCTTAGGTAATGTAGTGAAACGGGCAACTGAAAATGTAGTTCGCGCAGCTCGCCAAGCCATGAAAACAGATGAAATCAAGAAACTTATATTAAATGAAAGAATGGTTGGTGGTATGGCCCAAGAAATAGATGCTAGGTCTGATGTGTTAAGAATTGAAAGAGAGCTAGAAGAAGCGAGAAAAAGATTAGTAGTCATTAGACAAGCAAAAAATAGAAGCATTGATACTTATTAGCATAGTATAACAATTTGTTTAACACAATCTTAAAAATAATTAATTAAATTCTTGTAACATAATGTAATTACTGAAATTAATACATTCCTTATGTTAAATATTAAAACAACTAAATGAATACAATTGTATTCTGTACAATATACATAAAACTAAAAAGATTAAGTCCTTATGCAATACAATAATATTTTGATTATACAAATTCATATAAAATTATAAAAATACAGTATATATAATTGTTTATGTTAAATCTTGACATTAGGTCTCACTAAGTTAACTTTTTTAAAAATAACATAATTATTAATAATTTAATCCATCTACCAAATTAATAAGTACTAACAATAATAACGTAAAAATAATATTTTCATGTATAGTTAATTTTTTTATTATACAAAGTAAATAGTATGTCTTAAGGTATTAAAAATTGTTATAAAAAAAAAATTAGATTTATATTGTTTTTATTATCTATGTTTAATTTTAATTTATTTTTGTATTAACCATGTGCAGTAATAATATATTTTTTTAATTTTTCTATTTTTATTTGTATTGTAATATAATATCTTAAGATTTCAAGTATGGTATGAATGATTAATTTAGTGTTTTCAAAAGAAGAATTGCATCGTTATTAATTATTTCAATCTAGCTTTCAGGTGCCAAGGTTACACAAACTCCAATTATAGATTCAGATTTTTTAGTATTTGACTGTATTTTTTGTCTTTGAACTGTGGCCTTTGTCTTCAGAAGTGACCTAGAAAAAATTTTGTTTAGCCAGGTCTCATTTTTTGTGAATATTTCCAAGTTACCATTTAAGCAATTTGGGAGGGGGAAGTAACTAAGATACTAAGCTAATCATTTCATAGTAGAAATTAATTGCTTTAGAAAATTTAACACTCAATATTTGTGCTTAAGTAGCGTATTAAAATATTTAGGTGACAAAAAAAACTTTACAATGTATACAATGTGAAGTTAAAATGTCTTAAATGAATACTAAATGTTTTATATAAATAAGGGCTGTTCTTACAATTTGCGGTTTAAGTAAGAGGATAAAATCTATTATTAGCCGGTTAGCGTTAACCGACACTTACCGGACATTGTAGGAATGAACCTCAACGTGTTATAGCTGACAGTCATCCAGCTGTATAGGTAATCGGTAAAAGCCTAACTGTCCCTGGTTGTTTATATCACATTTTTGAGTAACTTATCACCAGGTGTTAAAATAGTTTTAGGATTTCAGTTTAATACTTGAATACCATATTATAGAAACATTTGTTAAATTCTTTATTACTATAACACAAATCTTGTTCTAATCTTAAATAAAATTGTTTCTTGGTACCTAAGAGTTTGTACATTACATACTTTGGTATTTTTTTAGTCTGTTCTTAGCCTTTATTAATTTGGACAATCATTTCTACACAAATTGTGATTTTATTCAGGCAGGACGGTGAACCGTGGCAAAAAGCCAAAAATTAAATGAAATCTGATATCATGGAGAATATTAACACATCCTAATCTGCCATATGGCATCGGTGGCAGTGATGTTAGTTTCTTAGAATGGAGAAATAGATTTAAAATAGACTTCATGAATTCCGTATTTCTGCAGCCCGAGCGCCAAGGAAAACCAGTGGGCAGTAGGCACGACTGTCTGGCGTCCGACATCGAACCACTGACGACTGACCCATTCACGATCCATTCATAGACATAATAATATCTTAATACCTATGAATCCATCAGTCTATGACCTATTGACCTAATAATGTATATGCGTTCCCCAACTCCCAAGTCAGAGTGTACCGTGTAGTAGTATAGAGCAACAGTAGTAGTGTATATTTTATTTGCTTGGAGCTCTAGTATACAGATTTCCTATTAGATGTCTCTTATCATAAGCCATATCTCGTCCGTGATGATAAGGCTCATAATAATATTATGATTTCAGTCAATACTCAAATGCCCAATATTGGATTTGGATATCGTACACCTTACTTGTTACGATGCTTGTGGTTTACTAATATAATATGCTTACATTATAGTCTGTAGTTGTATTATAGAACAATACGTCCTTGTTATATTTACTATTATTTATTACTTTCCTTCATTCTGTTGTTCTACTTACTTTTTAGTATTTATTTTATACTTACATGTACTAATATACTTGAACTTGTCAAATACAACTCTAGAATTCTATTGTAAATCATTTCGTTTATTTATTATTTAAGTTAAATAGTAGTGCATTTAGATATGGAAAAGAAGGTCAAAAACACTAGTCAAAAGAAGAACCTTGCTAAAATGCAAACCATGAAGTTAAACGATTGCAAAGCAGTCATATTAAAGCTGGTGGACGAATTACTTGATGGTTAATAAAATTAATTTATTAGTTAGGTATGCTTCAATAGCTGATGTGGTTTTAATTTTCTATTTTGTTTATTAGCAACAAGTATGATGTCCAATTCCCCATCAATCAAAGAACAATGGTCCATACATTTGGTGATTGTCAACCTATTATCTAAGATTAATCAGTTTGAAGCAGAGTTTGAATTGAAGCCCTTATCCCAGAGAAATGATCAATCCATTGAGAAATTGACTAAATGGGCCACTAAAAACGGTGCTATTCTTAATGGAGTAGAAATTCATCAATTTGAAAACTACTCATATGGCATGAAAGCTAATAAAAATATCGCTGTTGGTGATAAGCTTGTGACCGTACCTAGGGCATTGATGATGACTGAAGAAAATATACCATCTTCTCCACTATGTAAGTGTTTAATTCTATTGAGATTGATTTGATCTCATAATTTTCAATTTTTTTTATTACATTTAGGGAAATTACACTCGCAAGACATGATGCTGCGTAATATGCCAAACGTGGCTCTGGCAATATTCATTTTGGTTGAATCTTTGCGGAAAGATAAGAAAAGTTTTTGGCATTCATATTTAACTACCTTGCCAGTGACATACTCAACACCAGTATATTTTGATGTAGCTGATTTAGAAGCTTTGAAAGGATCACCTGCATTTGGTATTATATGCAGTTTTAATGAATTTTAGATTGCTCAAATACATATAGTACATAATCGTCATAATCTATAGTATATTATGATGTTTACTTTTAACATATAACTACAAAAACTTTAATAAGATTACATTTTCTTAAGAATTTCTATTTGTCTCAGTTAATTTCTTATTTATTTTTATCATAATATAGTTTCAGTCATTTATCATATTGCTTCAGATCAGTATATTTGTATATTAGCAGATTGAATTTCACACAACATGTTTTTTGTTTAGCACTTAGTTAATTACATGTTTTTATGAATGTAGAAGCAGCACTGAAACTTAATAGAAATATAGCTCGACAATATGCATACTTCAAAAAACTGTTTCAGGTAATTATGGCTAGTTATTATTATTTTAAAATTTATTTTTGTGTACCTATGGCTTATGGACATTGTTTTTCCTAATTGTCATATTTTAGCTTTTATACATACATAAGTTTTGGGAGATGTAAAGCAAATTAACACATTAACTTTACTCCCCTTTTACTCAAGACCCAAATCCTATTACAACTATTTGCATTAAATAAAAAGTTTATTTTGTCATTAAATACAATATTATTCAATTAAAAAATACAACATAAGAAAAGTGTTGAATAGTGTATAACACAATATGTATAATATAAAATGATAACTTCTATGTTCAATTTATTTAAACCTTAAAGTTTATGAATAGTTTAAACAGTTAACTTGACTTCTATTACAAAAAAAGTTATAATTAAATTTTTATCAGGAGGATGTTGGTAATAAAAACAAATAGTCTTTTTTTTCTCTGTCTCTGATGAAAATAACATTAAAAATTAGTAAAGAAAATTGAAAAATTATAATAAATTTGCTATCAATGGCACTAGCAAAAAATATTGTTACTTGAGTTGAATTAACAACAAAGTTGTGCTCCCAAAAAAATCTTGACTTTTAATAAATGAGTTAAATTTTTTTATTTTTGACAAATATAGTCATAATTTAATTAATTTTAGATAAAAAGTTGATGGTTTATTGCATCTTTAACATTTTAAAAACTGTTTGAAAATAAATAATTTGTTTCCATATTAGTTAGAGAATTGAAATTTCAAATTTGTTTGAATAGGTACCTAAAATATTAGAATAAGTAATCTAACTAAAATTGTTTTTTTGGCTTCTAAAAAGTTATGTCTTTTTCCATTTTGTCAATCACCTGTAATATTTTAAACTTTTAAAGTACCTATTTGCATTTCAAATAAAATTGTAAATTTTGAATATTATACAGAGTGTATTGTGTAAGAATACACCCTTTATAGCCATGGAGAGGGACTCGCCGCACGGACAAAAACTGGATTTTTACCTATAAATTAAAAAATTGATTAAAAATCATGAAATTAATGAAAATAAATTGTTAAAAAATCAAAATTTTCAGGAAAATAAACTACAAAATAGATTTCTTCAATTGCTTAAAATATAAAAAATGAAAAAACAAATTTTTTAATTTTTTCCATGAAATGTAATTAATTAAAAAAGAAAAATATGTAGTCTTTGTCTTTGTGAGTCTAATAAAAAAAAACAGATGTATGATGCATTTATTATCTTGGTGGATATCGCAATGGGTAGCTGTATTCATATAAATCCAAATTTAGAAAATGAATAACATTTTTATAAAAGAAGGTGCTTACAGGTTTTTTTTTGCTCACTCTTGTATTTGTTTTATTAACTTAAGTTTGTGTGAGAAAATAAGGAATAATATGATCATCTGCTTCTTTGGGTTAATAATAAATGTATATTTATATTTTCAGCTTTCCAATGATCCAGCTAGTGTAATATTAAAAGATACATTTACTTATGAGTATTATAGGTAAGTTGAATATATTTTGAGTTATTGATTTATTTGTGAGTGTTTCTTAAGTCTAATGGATGAAGTAGAAGTATAATTGCTTACAACTCTGAACAAAAAATTAATCTTGCAAATTAAATGTTGTTAGGCTTCCATTATTTTGTACTAATCTTTGTTAAATTGTATTGTTACTCAATTTCAGATTTGAATGATTGTTATAAATATATTTTTTTACTCTTTATATTTAGTATAAATCACATTTTAAAAATCAGTTAAGAGAAATATTATGGATACTACTATCATTATAGTTTGGTTTTAAAATATTTTTAATAATACTTGAATCTTATTGTTTTGTTCTAGTGATTTTTTTCCTAAATCACACATAACTTGGGTACTAGTCCATAGTTGTTAATATCTTAGATTAAAAAATATCACTGTATAGTGTTTGCACTTGTGTAGAAACTAGAAGTAGAACAGTGGAACTTAAGTTGTAGATTAATTTGATACTAGTAGAATTAGTTACCACTTAATAATCTCCATTATCCTAAAATGTAAAATTGTATTAATAATTTCATTCTTTTTAATTAATTTATATATACCTAGAAGCCTGAATCCAAATTTAAGATCTCTATGCATAATAAGTTTTCTGCAATTTTATAATATAGCTTATATTTATGTATTATAATATATTATTCTTGTTTAATACATTTATAATTTAATATGCTTAATGAATTATTAGTTGAGACATATCATGTTTTGTTATTTATTAGCACTACTTATTCAGCACTTGTGTAGCTAAGGATAATATGTATAGTTTCAGTTCATAATACCTACATAGAATTCAACTAATGTGATAAAATAATACAGGAACAAATTATTTTGTCTTACAATAAATAATAAGTTTATTTTTATTGATTAAAAACAAAATAATGTATCATTTATTTTAAATTGCGGCTTTGTTTTAGCAGTATAAATTTAACAGTATAAAAAATAACTTAAATTTTGTCCAAGATATGAAAATTGAACAACTGTAACACTGATCAGTCATAACGGAATGTTCGCCTTAGTGTTCTCCACAGGTAATATTGACGATTAGCTGTTGTGTGATCATCGATACGTCCTCCATATCCATCATAGTATTGATCCTGGAAATGTTTATCCATAACAGGACTTGTACTACGAGCGCTAGATCGAAGGTCTGGATCATGGGGTATATTATGTTGGCAAAACACAGATTTTTTTCTTAACACCCGTTTTTTTTGCCTCATTCTACATGATATGAGCAATACAAAGAATCCCAGAACTGCCATTGCCAATATTGCGGCACTAGCTATGATGGCCGATTTAACGGCTACTGGCAATTTCCTCATTTCAAAACGACGGTATTCCAAATTATTTTCCTCGTCTATGTCTTTATTTTTCTCCGAATAACTCTGATATTTGTCTAAATGATTTGTATCTTGAATGAACAATACTTGTGAAGGAATAGTTGGTGTTATAAGTGGCCTTTGGGTAGTTTTTATAGAGAAATCTGGCAAGCTATCAAAAAGACGTGGTTCTCTTTCAGATGTTTCTATAACGATTCGAGTTTTTGGGGTTTTTGAAACAAACGAAGTTGCTTCATTTTCTTGGTAGTTAACTGCTGTTGTGTAGGTAGTCGTAGTCGGAAAACTAAATACTTTTTTCTCTTCGAAAATCGTATCCAATTTAATTTTACCTATTTCTGCTTCTTGTTCAACTTTTAAAATATTTGGTCGCTCAGTGTTAATTGGTGGTTTAGAAAAGTTTGTCATTTCGTGATCTTGCGTTTTTTCCTTAAAGATTTGAATTGGTGATTTTATGTCATCAATTTGTATCTCTTGTGTAATCTTTGATACTTGTTCATTAGTCGTATTTTTATATTGATTGTCATGATTTTCTCCATCTGAATTTGTAGATTTTGTTGATGTTTGAGTTGTAGTATCTTCGTTGTTATCTTTAAAATGTTTCAAGTCATTTAATTCTTCCGTTTGTAACGTAACTTTGTTCTCTTGTGCTAAACGTTTTGTTTCAATTAAATAGTTAGTGAAATTTTTAGTATTTTCTGTTATTATTGGCTCATCGGCAATTACGTCTACTGATTCTTCTTTTGTGTCTATTAATTCTTGATGTCGCTGACTTGATCCCCTTTCTCTGTGTTGTAAAAGTTCTTCTAAAGACATGTTTCTAAGATTCAATACATTTAATAATAACGACGATCCAGTTTTAGTTTTTAATAAACTTAATATCTCGTCTTTGACCTTTGGTATGCTATCAGATTTGAATTTGAATTCGTCATTTTTATTACTCGGTTGCTCTTTCATCATTTTTGTTATTGCTTCGTCGTTAATTTGATAATCTTCAGTGTTATTTTTAGATTCTTTAAGTACTTGAGGTGCGTTTTCTGTCATTTTGAAATCGGGGGGGAGTAATGATAAAGGTAGTTCTTCTTTTATCACTATAATTTTCGGTTTAATTGTTGTTATTTCTTCCAAAGTCGTATTTTGTGGTTTCATACGACGTCGTATAACTGCAGACGTTGGCGGCAAGTTACTATTTATCGGTCTTTTATGCAATACTATTATGTCCGCACGTGATGAATTGGTTTTTTTCAAAGATCCATCTCTATGATTAATTATTTTGCTACTATCGTCAGTAAATTTATGTGTTGAAAATGTTGGCGAAATCGTAGTTGTTTTTGGCGTGGTGGTTGTAGTTGCAATCGTAGTAGATTTAGGCGTTGTTGATGAAACAGTATTTGTGGTTTCTGTTGTTGTTTTAACTATTTTCCATTTTCCTTCTTCGGTTGAGGTCATTGGTTCCCATCGCTTCACATCTTCACCGCTTGTTTTATTACCAAAATCAGCTGGCCTGCGAATAAGTTTTCTTCGTGGTAAAATATTTTCTTCTTCTGCGATACCATCCCCCTCAATGAATGGCCTCCTTTGTAATGGTCGTCTTCGTCTCTTTATTGGTCGTCGTCGAACATATCCTTCTGCATAATCTGGTTCCAGTGGTTCCTGATTCCATACTACAGGATGATTAATATTTTCTTCGTACGTGTGTGTCGATGTCCTTGGACGTTTGCGCCGACGACGTCGTTTACGTCGAGGCTTTCTTACTAGGACTTCTGATTCAATTTCAGAAGGTTTGTCCGTCGGAAATGGCACTTGACTTTCAACTATTTCAGATGAAGCTTCATCAATATTGTCTTCAAGTTCAAAATCATCGTTATCGTTATTTGTCTGATCGGCATCATGTGTTTGGGCCTAAAATACAAGTTGAAAATAACTTTAAACCAAACCATGTTACGTATTTTAATTTATAGTGGAAAGCGTACTTACATCAGATACATCAGACGTTTCTTGAGTTGAAGAGTTTGACAATTTTAGGTTGACATTTAATTCTTCTTTATTTTTAATACAATACGTAACAGTGATTAGATGAAATACGAAAGTATAGATAAAAAAAATCCAAATAACATTCTTCATTTTTCTGAAAAAAAAAAATATCTATTAGATATTACACAAATATAAGTATGATTTTAATCAGTTGACTATAACCCGTTTGGCTAATACATGCATTTGTAATGAATATATTAAGAAATAAACTATTAATTGTGATAAATCGAAATGATTTGAGTTGATGACTATTATTAAATAATATTTTATTGTTATTCAAACTGCAGTTATTTTAAGTGTAAAAATATATAATATTGATTGACCAACAACCTCCATAATATCGTTTCAATGATTTAATGTATTTTAAATTAAATTTCAGTACGCTCTAGTAACTATACGTCAAATAACTTGAACAAAAATGATTGATGGTCAGTTGAATAATAATTGCGAACTTGAACGAATACTTTCTCTGTCTAAATCGTGTGCATTCGAAAATCAAATAAAATGAAACTCATCTAGCTACTCAATGTTAGTTCATTGTCATCGTGTGTTTACCACGCGAGACATGTTTAAGGTTAATGGTACACTGGATTTTATCGTATCATAATAATATTTACAATAATAGGAATATTACAAAAGTAAATTATTAAAAAAAGAGGTTTTTGCGGTTTTTCTGTAATCATTAGGTGTTGGATATTAATGTCAATCTCGCAAAAATCATACACCACTAATTTTGTTAAATTGACTTCTAGTTTTCCGCAATTAGTCTTCATGAATACCTATGATATAAAGAAGTGAGACTAATCTCTGTATGGCCATCTCTATAACATCTATCAAAGTAGTTGTAAAGTATTTACAATTGTGTATGTATAGGCACTACATAGTATATTTGTCGTGTTTCTAGTTTTCACGGTGGATTAGAATCGGATTGAAAACTGAAAAACGTCTATTATCCTTAAACACTATAATGTTATCCCGATCATTGTGTGTTTTTCTTATTTTCATTTGTCAGTAGAAAATTTGAACGATTTATAATTTCACTCGGCATTCTAAACAATATATATGGTTATAATTCCTTTTTTGAACTTTTGTCTTTTTTTTTATCTTAAATGTTGCAAACATAAAATTATTTATGTAATTTATTTACTGTACATAGTGGTCCTAAACATGATATTACATAATGTATAAATACCTGTAAATTGATTTATTTATAATTAATATTTACTAACTTAAACTAAAATTTTGGACGGTAACATTACCTATAATATTTTTTCTAAATGATTTGCATTACTAGCACTTCTCATTCATTGTATATATTATTCTAATATATAGACTATAACTACCTAGGTACTCTATCCGGATTTTTAAATATTGTGAAATATGTAAAATTAAGTAGGTACCTACACGTGTGTCGTATTAAGCAAAAATCACTGAAAGTTATTCATACCTATATAAATATATAATATATAACGTATCGCATAATAATTAGTACTTGATAACGAGTGAATTGGGGATTACAATAATATTTAATATTTACATGCACGGAACCTGGAAATTTCTTTTTATCATTAAAATGATAGTTTTACAAATTTTAAACATTTTAGGAAAATAAGGTTCACAGTATGATAGGTAGGTACCAATGATACCACAGGTTCTTAAAATTATAGTTATGTATAATTTTTTATTGAATATTTACAACTGGTATTTGATAGAACACTCAAAAATTCAATTTGAATAATAATAGCAGTGATAAATAAAATAAAATACGAAGAAATAGCCTATCCGGTTCCAATGTAACTAACTACTATTAGCTTTAATCGACAATTTTTTAATTTATAAATTAAATCAATTTGTGGAACTATACTCGTTTTTTTGAAAGTTATCCGGAAATGTATAAACTGTAAGCCACGAGATGTACACGATGTACATAAAAGTGTTGAAGTAAGAATCTTAAATGGGTACCTCTACGGCACTACATTTCCCATCGTCATTTTCAAAATAGTTTTTGCATAAAAACATTCTGTGTATTATATTTAATTTATAATATGGCTTATACAGGTACCTACTTATATTTTTTTTTGGTTAAAATAATCTAAAATATTATGATTCTTGTACGTTTTTTCTACTATTGTTATAACTGATAATAATAGATTAAACACTTCGCGAAGATAATAATTTTCACTATTGAAGCGTGTACACATGCAATTTGTTGCATAATGAATACTTAACTCATGAATGTTACGGTTGGAATAAAATAAAACAATTTAAGAATGAAAAAACTCTAGATCACACGTGATAGGGAGATAATCCAGTTAAAAAATTAAAATACAATGGATAGTAAAAACAGTGCAGAAAGAGAAAGTAATTGTGAGTTGGTATTTAGAAGCTGATACAAAAATGAATACAACACTAGCACCAGGAAATGGTCCAATTCGTATAATTGTGATTAAACGGGGCTATTGTTTTGTATTTTGTATTTTTTTTTTTATTGATAACAAAACACACCTTTTATGTTATTACGAATGAATTAATAAATTATATGTTATTAAGTAATAATGTCTGTGCTATACATATTACATATGTACAATGCACTTACGTAGATACGTATAAATGTATAATATGTAGTAGGTTATACACCTTTATATGTAACTATGCGTTTTGTTTTTTGACAGTTGACACTGAATTTGGCGAAAGAGTAAAATAATATGTAAAAATAAATCAACTATTGGCACTATAAATGCGTATCAATAATATGCCAAACAAAACATCCTGTAGAAAGTTTTTCGTTTTTGAATTAAAATCTCAGTTATTGTGTGTCATTTCTTTAACACGTTAAAATTTGGCAGACTCAATTATTATTCATTTGCCGCTTGCATATGTAATGTATATAATATTATAATACAATGTGTCTATTTTTTCACACTCATAAATGACGTGGAGACTAAAATTATTTGTATGATAAAAAATAAAATACGTAGAAGATACCCGGCACTTAAACGTTTAGTACATATCCAATATTTTCGTTGATGCAGTAATAACTATAATAGGAAAATATTTTTTATATTTTTAACGTAAAAATTATGAGCGTCCAGTACCAAGAACTCGTTGATTTGAATTAAAATAATTTGATTACTATGTATTATATTATTAGTTATTACCATTGCATTATATTGGTTATAATACTCTCGGTATTTTATTTACCTGACCATAGCATAAAAATAAAAATATTTTGAATATAACGATAGACTTTTAGAGTAATAAATATAATATTATAGTACTATCTTAATGTTTTTACATCTTTATTGATAAATTAAAATATGAATTATTAGTTAGGTATCATTATTCACTCGTTTCCGGAATTTGTTTTATTATGCATTTTAATCGGGAAATGTTTCTTTTAAAACCTCAAATAATTTTCTTGTCCGTATACATATCATAAACAATAAGTGGATACCTATACCAGAGCATTGTCCGTGTCTTCTACTCTTATTTCTTAGGTACCTTTGAAGTACCTATGAGTTATCCATTAAACATTTGGCGCAGTTCTTAATTGAATAATAATTTTTATAAAATGCTAATAAATATTAATATACTACTCAGTGATGTATTTTTTTAAACACAATTTTTATTAAGGACATCTGAAGTGACACAATAAGTTTAATAAATAAAATAAATAATAGTATGAAAATAAGAGTGTATAAGCTTTCTAGTGGAGGTGCTTGGTACTACAATATATACATTTTTTTATTATATAAATAAGCCTTGCCGTCTATGGCTATTGGCACGATCCTGAAATAGTAGTTTTTCTAAATATGCATTCATGTATTATTAATATATGAATTTGTGAAATAAAATATCTACTCATAAAACATAAACAACAAATAGCTGTTGTTGTTTATTTATTTTACTATTACTTTTTTATTATTATTTAAATACCAAACTAAATAAATAAGGAAATGTAGGCACAAAGGTAATCAATAAAATATAAAACATAATGATATAATACACTATTTTTACTGTTTGTCGAACGTGTAAAAATGTTTGATCTTATGATTTATAAAATAAAGTGTCTAGCTAACATAATATTTTGATATAAATTAGAATATTAAAACATCAAATTAACAAGTTTTCAAAGTTTTGATGTCAACCGTAGTTAAGTTGTACGTATACATACAGGTTGATTCACCAAGCCTGCTCAGTGCTCATCCCCTTTTTTCTTCAATACTGGAGTTATTTAAAATCAGATTCGGTGATTGGAATTTTTAATTTTTTAAATATACTTATACAGACCAAATTTCCAAATTATTGAGATTTTTTATTCTACTTAAAGAGGGTTATGTGGAGATACAAACTTCTGCTTATCAAATTAAAATCCCCCTTTTCAACTGTAAATTATTCTGTGGATAATTTTTGTTTAAAATTTAATGCATCAGAATCAAAATTAAAATTCATACGAGTAGTTTTTGATTTACTTAAATTTGTGCTCTAAGGAACTCCTTAAGTAGGTAGTACAAGAAAATTTAAGAATTAAAAAAAAATGTCTTTGGGTATATTTAAAAATTCCAAAAATCAGAATTCGAATAAATGCATTATTATAGGGAAATAATTGAGGTAAGGATGATTATCATGTATATGCATATATTTATTATATGATAATTTGAATAAGTTCTTAACTCAAAATTTCTTATTTTTAAATTTAAAATCATAGAATTAAATATAAGTTTTCTTATAAACATTAAGAAATAATACTACATTTTTTATAAAAATGGTTTACTAAGTACGCTCGTCGTTTACCCTGGAAATTCATGTTAGGTTTGTTATTCACCACTTCCACGATGCTAATTTTGCATTACTGTTATTATTTGTTGGGTTCGTAATTTGAATTTGTTTCTCGTTCAATGAATGAACGATGTTACATGGGACATGTTCACCCGCCCCCCCACGTTGCCATATCACAAGGAAAAAACGATTTGTTTAGTTTATCCACCATAATTTATTTTAAAATGCTCATTGTTACCCATCGTTTTTTATCTCTGTCCAATTAATGCAAGAATTAGCATGAGATCTTTAACACGTTAACTAAGCAATACAAAT